AAACGTATATTGTAAACCTATACTCAACGACGCACGTGTCGTCAAGAGAATCCTTTAGAAAAATTCGCCGGCTATAATAGCTCGTCTCCTCCCAATCCTGGCCAAACGATGGCCAATAGGGAAATGAGTTGGCCCGAGCACCCTAGGGGAAAAAATGCATGTACGAATACTCCAAGGGCTAAATAAACGAAAAAAGAGAGAAAACAAACAGATGAGATTAGCTTGAGAATATACGGAAAATCGAAACATAAGAAGGAAAAATATACCTCAATAATACGGTCGTGCGATGAAATGGACATCCGAGGTGTTGGGTTTTGCGGTGACCAACACCGCGCGGGAAAAAAACCCGATAACCGGATCTTATGCATAATAATTACAACATAAACAAAAGCATGTAAATAAACAAAACAATAACACACAAAGAGAAGAGAGAGAAAGAAACTCACCCTAGATGCATGCTTCGCTCACTTAATGATCTCGGACTTGAAAGCTTCAAGCTTCGCAAGTGAGGAACCTCCGACGGCTCACACCCTCACTCACCGAACCGGAACCGACCCCTACCCCGTAGCTTAAACGGGGCTAGACTAAAATCAACTTAGAGTTTACGAACTAAGGTTTTCTCGCTTTTGGAGATCCCTTTGATGAGTGACATTTATAGCACTCATAAGGTAGTTTTTAGGTTGCTTTTACCTTCTTTACGTGGCTTTCTTCCTTAATAAATGCCTAGTTTTAATTTGTTCTTTTTCTCTCAAGTTTCCTTATTCCTTGTCTATTTCGTGTTTTCATCCACTTTTGTGGATTTTCCTTGTGATTTCCCCTTTTATTTGTTCTTTTCCTTTGATTTTAGGTTAAAGGCAAGGTCCAAGTCCCTTCATGGTGTTTCCTCGGGTTAGAAGATGCTCAAGGTGTAAAGTGGAAGCTTACTTATAGCTCACAAAGCAAGTGATAGCTTACTCCAAGACTTGATACTTGCGCCCTCATGCTGCGCTCACATGAAAATATGATGTTGAACCCACCGTCAACTCATTTTGGGACTGCCCTCCCCAATGTTGATCAAGAGGAGCGCACCTCTTGCATTGAAGAACGCACGGAGGAAGTCCCCTGTTATAGTGGCGCGGGCGCGTATACTCCGTGTGCGGGCACGCCACCTAAGCTCTCTATTACGTACCTCGTTCTTTGTGGCCGCACATTCCGGAGAGAAGGCGTGCCTGTACGGGTTTCTTTTTGGACGTCCACCTTATTTCTCCTTAGTTAGTTATACTATATGTAGGTTTTCCTTCTATTTTAGAGAGAGAAGTTTTTTTGGAGTTAGTTTTAGAGCTCTTAGATTTTAGAGAGAGAAACTCTTGGATTTTGATTTGTACTTCAACATTTGCTTCAAATAAGTTTGGATTTCCTTCAATCAAAGATAATTAGTGAGATTTTCTTCCTTTAATTCCTTTCCATTGCTTGAATTTGCTTTTGATTCATGAATGATTGTTTGACTTTTTGATCTTTTGGTTAATAGTTTGATTGATTTGAATTTCTACTTGATTTAATTTAAGATGATGATGTTTGTGATTTACTTAGTTTTGTTCTTCAATTTCAATATGCTTAGTGAGTAGACTCCTTTCTAGGGAGATGGTGAAGCATGCATGAATGATGGATTACTACTAGTAGATGGATTTTGATTGATTGAATGTTGTGATAAAATTGGTTGATAGAATTGTGCATGTGGTTGAATTGTTAAGGAGTGATCAACCTTGATTTTCAAGCTAGATTGCATTGTGATTTCTAATGACACGAACCATTGATTTAGAGATTGCAATTATTGATTGAATTTGATTTGTGATTCTTCTTGCTAGTCATTCATAGAGGAAACCTAGTTTGACTTCTATGAGATAACCCTTTGAGTTCTCTTGATTGCAATTACTATCCTCCTTTACAATATTTAGTTGATTGATTTCCCCTCAATTGGCATAACCATCATGATTGTGTGTGGAGACTAGTCCTTAGTGCTTTTGATATTGAATTCCCTCTTTAGTTTAGTTGTTTGAGACCATAGTTAGTCATATTCAACATCCTTCTTATTCTTCGAAATTGCTTGACCTTAAGCTATAGTAACCTTTCTCCTATTCCTCGTGGTTAGACCCTTGACTTACCCTATACTTGGTTTAGGATTGGTCTAGTGTTTATAAATTTTGTTGATAAGGTTTTAAGCATTTAACGACGTGTTTAGACCCTCTATCAATTGGCGCCGTTGCCGGAGAGTGGTGGAGTTGTTTGCTATAGTGGTTGAGTTTATTTCATCATTATTTGAAAATCACAAAAAGATTTTTCCCTTTGTGGCTACATTTGTAGCCGTGCTACTAATAATTTCTTTTGAGATTGTATGCATAGAACACGTGGTTGTTTTCTAGTGCCATTTGATCCGGAAATAGAGAGGACAATTACAAAGATAAGAGTTGCTAGGCGTTCCTCAAGTCCTCCAAGACAAGAAGAAGAACAAGAAAGAATGGGAGAAAACCCAAGAGTGGCATTGAAGGAATTAGGGATTCCGGGTGCATATAGGTTCGAGAGCGGGATTGCTTCACCTACAACACCGACGAATGATTTTGAAATTATACTGGCAATAATCACTTTGATAGGGAGGTGAAAATTTAGTGGGACCAAGCACAAGAGTCCTCTAAAACACCTCAAAGAATTTTAGAAGTATTGCAACATTATCAAAGTGAATGGAATTTCACAAGTGTTCATTCGTTTGAAGCTTTTCTCTTCTTCTCTCATAGAGCGTTCCTTGGAATGGTTGGATAAATAAGTCAAGCCGAACTCATTAAGAAAATGGGATAAGGTTACTAAGGAATTTCTATCCCGGTTTCACTCCCAAAAGAAAACAGCGGAGGCAAGAGCACTTATCCAAAGTTTCAAGTAGAGATCCAATGAAAGCCTCTATGAAGCTTGAGAAAGGTACAAGGATTATCGAAGGGAGTGTCCTCACCACGGAATTCCTACCTACCAAATCATTCAAATCTTTTATGGTGGCCTAAGCCCTTAAGGGAAGTCTTGTCTTGATGCGGGAGCCGGAGGACCCTAATGAACAAAACGGAAGAGGAAGTTGTGGACATCATTGAAGATGTAGTGAGGCACTACATGTATTGGCAAGACGGTGAAAAAGAGTCAACTAGCAAGAGTAGCTCTTCGGTGTACTCGGTTGATCATCTCAATGCCATCAACAACTTGTCCTCACAAATCTCATATCTAGGGAAGGAGATGACTTCTATCAAAGCCAAATTAGAGAGTGCTTCATCTCTAGCACCTATTCTTCCCTCCCAATTTAAAGGGAGAGGTATATCTTCTAACTCTAATCCCCCTCCCTCTTCTAATAACATGCCTAGTGCATGCTTGTTTTGGGATGTTTGTGGTTCATATGATCATGATGCTTTTAATTGCCCTCATACTTTTTCGGATGGATGTGATGATTTTGATAGTAATGAGAATGAGCATGTGAATTATGTGTCTTATAACAACAGTGGTTCAAGGTTTGATAATCAAAGAGGCCAATGAATAGGAACTATCACAACCAAGGCAATTTTGACAACTATAGCCAAGGTGGTGGTTATAGGAACCAAGGAAACCAAGGTTTCCGAGGTAACTATAACAATCAAGGTTATACTAGCCAAAATGAAAGACAAGGTTATGGTAACCATAATCAAAGCTATGGACAAAATCAAAATAGGGGTAATTGGAACAATCAAAACAGGGGTAACTTTCAAATCAATGCTCAAAGGGGTCCCCCACCTAGGTTTGTTCCAAAGACCCAAGGTCAAGGTGATAATCCCTATGCTCAACCTTCTTCTTCTAGTTCTAATTTAGAGGAAATCATTGAAATTCAAACCAATTTGTTGAACACTTACATGTCGGCTAGTGATAAGATATTCAATGAAATGATGACTCATAATAAAGTGTTAGAGAGCCAAATTTCCCAACTAGCTAATGCCTTGAAAAAACATGCAAGCCCCATTTCTTTACCTCCTTAAGGTTTAGATCCTAAGAGACCCATGAATGCTATTGTGACAGGAAGTGGAAGGATTCTTAAGGATAATTTACCTAAGAAGAGTTTAGCTAAGGAAAGCTTAAGTAATGTTTTGGTTGATGACGAAGGAGATAGAGAGCCTTTGAGTGAGGTTTTAGTTGAGAAACCATGTGAAAAAGAGAGAGAAAAGGAAGTCGTGAAACCCAAGCTCCCTTACCCCTAAAAATTCATGAGCCACAAATTGGATGAACAATTTGGAAAATTTATTGAGATGCTTAGGCAACTTCTTCTTACCCTCCCATTCACCGATATTATTGACCAAATGCCGAATTATGCTAAGTTCCTAAAAAAAATTTTGAGTGGAAGAAGGATTTGTGATGCGGTGGAAACGATTAAATTAACCGAAAATTGTAGTGCAATCATCATGAACAAGATGCCATCTATGTTGAAAGACCCCGGAAACTTTCTATCCCTTGTGCCATTTATAAGATGTAATTTGATAATGCCTTGTGTGACTTGGGAGCTAGTGTTAGATAGCCTTATGCCATATTTGGTTTATCAAAGACTTGAGTTAGGGGAACTTTTACCTACCAAAATTACCTTCCGATAGATCAATAAAGATTCCAAACGGTAAGGTAGAGGATGTTCCTTTGAGGGTAAGAAAGTTTGTGATCCCGGTTGATTTTGTGGTTCTTGAAATGGATGAAGATGCTAACATTCTCATCATACTTGGTAGACCTTTTCTTGCTACCTCGGGTGCCATGATTGATGTAAAGAGTGCTAAGATTTCAATTAAGGTAGGAGAAGAGGCTATTGAATTTGATTTGAATGAAAGCATGAAATACCCTTCTTCTTCACTTGAGAATTGCATGAGAGTTGAAATTATAGACAACATTGTGAATTTCATGCATGAGCACTTGCTCACATCTAATGATCCTCTTTAGTGTGTTATGTTGAACAAGGAAAAGATAGGTGATCTGGCAAGGAAATGGCATTCTTTGAGACGCTCATTGATGGGAGCATGGAAGAGAATGATGACCATATTTGCATGGGAATTACAAGTCAAGATGCATTGCAAATGGCCTTAACAAAGGAAAGTAAAGGTGTTCCCATGGTAGAGCTCAAACCTCTACCACCACTCCTTAGGTATGAATTCTTAGGTCCTAACTCTACTTTTCCCGTGATTGTTAGCTCCTCCTTGAGTGAGAACCAAGCTCAAGAGTTTTGTGGTGTATTGAGAAGACACGAAGGTGCTTTAGGCTATACCATTGATGACCTCAAGGGTATAAGCCCCGCTTTATGTATGCACCATATTACTCTTGAGGATGGTGCCTCAACGAGCAATGAAGGGAAATGAAAGCTACACCCTCAAATGGGGGAGGTAGTTAAGAAGGAAATCACTAAGCTATTGGATGCGGGAATTATTTTCCCCATCTCTAGCTCTAGGTAGGTTTCCCCGGTTCATGTTGTCCCAAAGAAAGGAGGCATGACCGTTGTAGAGAATGAGAGAGGAAAACTCATCCCTACTAGGACATCACGGGATGGCGTATGTGCATAGACTACCGACATCTAAACACATCCACCAAAAAGGACCATTTCCCCCTTCCCTTTATAGATCAAATGCTAGAGAGGTTAACAAGGCATAAGTATTATTGATAAGCCGTGTTTTGTGCATAATTGTTAGCCTCTTTTTAGTTGTTCTTATTAGTCTAGCTTAGTATTTTAGTTCATTTTGGTTTGATTTGGTTTAGTTTTGATGATTAGATGCTTTTATGGGTAGTTTCGTTGTTTTTGATGTATTTCAGGATTAACGAAGCTAATTTAGAGATTTTATGAAGTCATGAGACTAAGCCGAGGCCCACGGACCTTCACGAAGCTCGTTGGTCAAAGAACGAGCCACTTAGGCCTTTTTGGACTCAAGCACGCCCATGCCCAGCTTAGGCACGTCCGTGCCTGAACCTCAGAAACTGAAGGAAAATTACTCGAAGTGAGACACGTCCGTGCCTCTTAGGAAGATTACGCACTAAACTTTCTCACGTTTTCTTATCTTTTTGGGAGTATAAATACCCCAAACTTTATTATATTTCTCTATCTAGTATTCCTTATTAGACCTAGTTTTCTCTAAGACTTGACATTGCTTTTGTAATTCAAGATTCAATTTCTACTTTTGCAATCTCCATTTATTTCGAGATTTGGTATTTTCTTTTCATCACTTATTTCTTAATTATGTTTTCTTTGATTATTTTTGTTATTGCTTATTTAAATATGTGTGAGTAGTTTTTATATTCCAAGATCTAGGGTAGCCCAATTGTGATTGATGCATGAATTGATTCTTTAAATTCTCTAATAGCAATTGCGATTATTTATGCTAAGTTGATTGTGATTATGCCAATACTATATTAGAGATGATTAGTATTGTTATTATTCCATAGTTTTAATCACAACGAGAGTTGGGTTTTAACGGAATTGAGTAAATCAATTTAGGTTTTGAGATTCATCACGAGAGTAGTTGAATTGATAATTGGGAAGCGAAGTAAAGTGTTTAATGTCTCTAATTTGCATGATTCCATGAGAATAGGCTTGATTGTGGTTAGAGAAGCCATTGATACTCGAGTGAGGTCCTTGGTATTGATTAGGGTTTGCTTTTCCTCATGTTAATTAGATTTGTATGCTAGGGGTAGATAGATAATTGCATCGATCGTAATTGTGGTGATACTTGATCTTTGATGTTTTAGTTTATTGATTTATTATATTCTTTAGATTAGTTTAGTTCTTCATACATTAGTTTCTAGTACTATTCACCTTCGATTTGATACTTGCTTAGTGATTATATGAGTTTAGTTAATTCGGTGAACCTTAGTCTCTTGGGATTCGATCCTTACTTTCCCGTCTACATAATAGGGGTTTAGTTAGGTTATTTTTGTTAAGTATGCGACACGACTATCAAATTTTGGCGCCGTTTCCAGGGACTAACGGTTTCTTTCTGATTAATTGTGATTCGTTTTCCCTAAGCTTTATTCGCTGCTTCGGCTATTGTCTCTTGTGTTTTTGATACTTTTCTTTTAGTTCTTTGTTGCATGCAAACTCGACATTCAGGGTCAGACAATTTAGCACCTTTTGACTCTGAAATTGAAGCGACTATAAGGAGACGAAGAGGTAGAAGAAGAAGGGGAAATCAAAACAATAGAAACATGGAAGACGACATGAAATCTCTTTTGGAGTACGGTATTCCTGATATGACAACCGGCCTCCTCTCTAGCATTGTCAGGCCACATGTCACTGCTCAACACTTTGAATTGAAACTACAGTTCATTTAATTCATCTCCAATGATTCATTTTCAAGCACACCACATGATTTCCCTGTAAGTCATATTGATAGCTTTTTGGAGAAATGTGATACGATGAAAATGAATGGTGTTACAAATTATGCTATTAGACTTCGCCTTTTCCCTTTCTCACTATGAGATAAGGCGAAAGAATGGTTGAGAGATGAAGGAACTGGCTCGTTTGATACATGGGAAAAGCTGGTGAAAGCTTTTCTGGTAAAGTTTTTGGGACAGGAAAAGACTGCAAGGCTAAGAAACGAACTATCTACCTTCCGGCAGTCAGATGATGAGTCCCTTTATGAGGCATGGAGGAGATTTAAGCGATTGCAGAGGCAATGCCCCCACCATGGTATTCATGAATGGATGCTGATTCAAACCTTCTATAATGGTTTAACGCATGAGTTCCAAATCTACATTGATGTTTCTTCGGGGGGTTCTCTCTTGACAAAGAACCCAACTGAGGCAAAGGAGCTGATTGAGAAGATGGTAGCCAATGATAATTATCATCCAGGAGACCGACATAATGTGAAGAAGGGAGGTAAATTAGATGTTGATGCTCTAACTCTTTTGACTAGTTCTGTGCAGGCATTGACAAGCAAGTTTGATAGACTCCAAGCTGGAACATTCACTAGTTTACATGAGACTTGTCAAATGTGTAATGTGCAAGGCCACATTGCACCCAATTGCCCACAAAATTCAAATGACATGTCGATTGAAGAAGCCAATGCATTCTACATTTCCAACCCCAAAAGGCCATATGACCCCCACTCTAACACATATAATGAAGGTTGGAAGAATCACCCAAATTTTTCCTACAAGAATACACAAGCCCAACAAAATCCACCTCCACCACCACCTCGAAACAGCAACTACAATGCACCACCTGGTTTCCAACCAAGGCCACCTCCAGTCCAACAACCTATTCAACCACCTCCTCAAAAGTCCAACCTTGAACTAATGTTGGAAAATTTTATCACCACAACCAACAATTCCATCCAACAACAAAATGGCTCCATACAACAGTTACAAGCCCAGAGTAAGCTCATGGAAAATCAGATAAGCCAACTTGCTCATCAAGTTGGGGCCAATCTTTAAAGACACCGGGCACTTTTCCGGGTCAGACAGAGCAACCACAAAAAGGGCATATAAATGTTGTTACTTTGAGGAGTGAGAAGCAATTGGAAGATCCTCCTACCAAGGAGCCATCAAGGGAGGTCGTTGAAGAAGTAGGTGCAGGTGAGAAGGTGATTGATAGTGCTATGGTCGAGGAAGAACCAAAGGAAGCAACTTCATCACCTGTTGTTCCATGTGTGCCAAAGGTTCCTTTTCCACACCAGGCTAAGCTTGAGAAAAAGTATGGTAAATTTCTTGATATCTTGAAAAAGCTTCATATTAATATTCCATTCTTAGATGCTATATCCGAGATGCCTTCTTATGCTAAATTTTTAAAGGATATGCTTTCTAACAAGAAAAAGCTAGAAGAGAATGCTACAGTTGCTTTGACTGCATAGTGTAGTGCTATTTTGCAGAATACTCTCCCTAAGAAATTAGGAGATCCAGGTAGCTATTCAATTCCAGTGAAAGCTTGGAGATATTGAAATTAACAGGGCACTATGCGATCTTGGTGCAAGTGTGAGTCTTATGACACTCTCCATCTGTAAGAAGCTGCAAATGGGTGAACTCAAACCCACACGCACATCCTTGCAACTTGCAGATAGGTCAGTCAAATTTCCTTTGGGTGTACTTGAGGATGTACCTCTTCGTGTAGGTAAATTCTTTATTCCTTGTGATTTTGTTGTGATGGAAATGGAGGAGGATGCACATGTTCCTATTATTCTTGGTAGGCCTCTCTTAGCTACTACAGGTGCAATCATTGATATGAAGAATGGTAAGATCACCTTTGAGGTTGGTGATGAGAAAATGGGATACTTACTTTTAAATTCTATGGGTACTCCCTCTATGGGGGAGACCGTTTGTCAGGTAGATGTGCTTGATGGTCTGCAGAATGAGCAACTTCCGTTGAGCAAAACGGATGATGCACTTGAAACAGTGCTAGTAGGGAAGGACGATGATGGAGATTGGGAATCAAAGGAGTATATCAGGCTACTTGAAGAAGCAAAAGCTAACCCAATCATTGCTCCAATCAGAGAAGTATTTAGTGCAGTGAGTGTTGGGGAGAGTACTACACCTCCCGAGGTAGAGTTGAAACCTCTTCCATCTAATCTGAAATATGCATATCATGGTCCTAATAATTCATACCTTGTTATTGTTAATGCTGAACTCAAGGACACAAAATTGGAGCAATTCCTCACTGTTTTAAGAAAGTATAAAAGTGTAATTGGGTACACCATTGACGATATTAAGGGTATTAATCCTTCTTTTTGTATGCATAAAATCATTCTTGAGAACGATCATGCTTCCTCTATAGAACCTCAAAGAAGGCTTAATCCAAATATGATGGAGGTAGTGAAAAAAGAGGTTGTTAAATTGCTTGCTGCAGGAATAAGAAGACAGCAAGTTTCAGAAGAACTTGGTCTGTGATTGCCAGCAAGATGCTGAAGAAGAGAAGACAACATGAATTCAGTCTTGGTCTGTGAAGAACCTAAGTTTTTATATACTTTACGAAACTCGAGGAGGCAATTTAGTAATAAACTTATAAAGTCTTTTATTAAGGTTTTTGTTAAGTTTATTGTTATTAGGATTATTATAAATATGTGTTGGTTGATTATACATGAGATCTATTAGAAACGTGATAAAGCTTGGCAAGCTAACTGAAATCGGAAATTTTATAAAAGATAAGTTTTAATTTATGGAAAACATCTTTGAGAAATTTTATCATATAAAATCTAGTTTACAATATTAATCTTTTTCTAAATTATATCCTTGTTCGATTTTCCTAAAGATTTTCATAAAAAGATTCATTTCATATTGGGTTTTAATAAACGGCATTTTTAAGGTTTACCTTTCGGAAAACCCTACTTGGCTTATGATCTTATAAATAGAGTTGATCATTTTCTGAGAAAACTTGTGAGTTTATGTGTGAAAATCTCGAGAGTGCTTAAAAGTAAGTTTGCCAAGTTTAAAGCTTTATCTTATTAGTTTCGGATTTCATGTGTAGCTTTCCAATCTCATATTAGAGTCAAGTGTTTGTATTGTTTTGGGATTTAGGTGAGTGATTTAGTATTGCATACTATTTGTAGGCTTCTAGTAAGAAGTTGAGTTCGAGTGCTCTAAGAGTACTGACTAAACCTAATTCAGGGAATAAAATTGGGTAGAATAAGGTTCTATCGAGTAGCAAGTTCAGTCTGGAACTTGTGAGAAAGGTCTGTGAGTAATAGGTTGTAACTAGGTGTTGCTCTATTATAGTGGATTGATTTGGTTTGAAATCCTTAGGAGGGTCGAGGTTTTATTCCAGTCAGGCCTTGGAAGGTTTCCTCGTAAATATCGTTGTGTGCTTTACAAGTTCCTATTTAGTTTGTTTTAATTTTCGCAAAAATTAGTCACTTAGGAACTCACTACAATTCACCCCCTCTTGTAGTAGTTCATGTCAACTAACAATTGGTATCAGAGCAAGTTCTCACATATAACAAGTAACTTTGTTGAGTAAGTTCTTGAGAGAGATGAATTATCGAGAGAAGCTTGAAGAAGGGTATTCCACCCAACGTCCACCTATGTTCAATGGGTTGTTTACTTCTACTGGAAGAACATGATGAAGTTCTTCATCAAGGCTGAAAATTATCAGGTTTGGCGCGTTATTGAATCTGACGATTTTGAGGTAACCAAAACTAATGAGAAGAATGAGGTAGTCCCTAAACCTTTATCTGATTTTAATTAGGAAGATTTTCATAATTTTGAATTGAATGCATTAGCTATTAAATTGTTGCACTGTGGACTTAGACCCCATGAACATAATAGAATCATGGGATGCAAGTTTGCCAAGAAAATATGGGATTTACTTGAAGTTAACCATGAAGGTACAAACGAAGTGAAACACTCTAAAATTGATTTATTGATGTCTAAATGTGAAAGATTTGAAATGCTACCTAAGGAAACCATTAAAGAAATGTTTACTAGATATAATGATATAATCAATAAGTTAGGTTCCCTTGGCATACATATTCCTATAGATGAACAGGCTAGAAAGGTGTTGAAGAGCAGCCTTCCTCAAGATGAACTTTGGAGATCCAAGGTGACTGCATTGCAAGAAACCAAGGACTTCACCAAGTTCAACATGGAACAGCTAGCTGGATCTTTGATGACTCATGAACTTCATTCAGGAACTAATGCTGAAAGTTTTAAAAACAAAATCTTAGCCTTAAAAGCTCAAGATACTGATGATTTAGAAGTTGATGAAGTCGAGATGGCCATGCTGGTAAGAAGATTCAAGAATATGCTTGGAAATAGGAAGTTTGATAGGAATAGAAAATTCTCAAGTTCCAAAGAGACAGCTTGATTCAAGTGTGGCTCAAAAGAACACTTTATTAGAGACTATCCTCTTAAAAAAATGATAGAGCAAGATTCAAAGGCTAGGATCAAGGAAAGGAAAATAAGACTTACAAGCCATCTTTCTCTAAGACGGATGTAAGGAAAGCAATGATAGCTGGCTAGGGTGACTCAGAATCTGAAGAAGAAGAAGAAGAGCAGCCTTTAGAAGAAACTGCGCACATATGTTTGATGGCCAAAACTGATGAGAAGGCCAAGCTGAAGGAACTAGAGGCTGAGTTATAGTATGATTATAATATAAAATAAAAAATAAAAAAAAAAAAAAATTCTCTAAAGAAAACTTGATTTACACTGTAATGGATATTCATGGTGAATTAATTAATTTTCATGTTGCTAAGGCACAAAGTGATAAAGCTCATAAAACTCATAAAGAGAACACTGAATGGGTAGATAACATGAGATTTGATATTCAACATAGATTTAATTTGTTTGATGATAATTTACAATTAAAGGAGAATGTTAAAAGATTAAAACATGATAACATACTGTTGAATTTGGAACTGTCCTTATTAAAACTAAACGGTGCCACTCCTTACTCTGAAGTTCCTCTACTAGATAAATATCCAAATTTTGGAAAATTAAAATCAGATTTGGAAGAACTAAACCTGGATAAGGCTAGACTTGAGGCGGAACTTAAAAAACTTAATTAGGAAACGCAAACAAACCGTTGACTATACCATTCCTGACTGGATAGCTAATGCTTAAACTAAAAGAACTGATGGTCTAGGGGATATAAGAAGAAGTTCCAGAAAGAAAAGAAGTATGTTGACCTACTTAGTAGCATAATATGCTATTCTGTGGCAAGACTGGATATAAACAAAACAAATGTCCTAAGAAAGATAAAAGTACTCTTAAGAATGAAAATCAGGTCAAGCAAATATGGATTAAGAAATCTGAGTCTACATCTGTAACACAGGAACCCAAGGAGACCTGGGTTCCTGACACTAACAATTAATTTTCTTGCAGGTTCCAGTGAGAGGGAACAACACGTGGTACCTCTACAGCGATTGTTCTAAGCACATGACTGGAGATAAAACTAGATTTCTCTCACTAGACGCGTATTATGGTGGGACTGTGACTTTCGGTGATAACAAGAAAGGTGAAATTGTTACTATTAGCAAAGTAGGAAGGTCAAGTTCCCATGCTATAGATAATGTATTTTTGGTCGACGGTCTGAAGCACAACTTATTAAGTATTTCACAATTTTGTGACAAAGGTAACTCTGTTAGCTTTACTTCTAATTTATGCAATATCATTAACAATGACACTGGGAACATAATTTTGGAAGGAATTCATAAAGGGAACACTTATATAGTGGATCTCAACGAAGTTCCAAGTAGTAGTTTTGACATGTCTTAGTGTCATTGAAGATGATCCACTTTTGTGGCACAAAAGATTTGGACATGCAAGTTTTTCTTTATTAGATAAACTTAGGACTAAGGAACTTATGGAAGGACTTACATTCATCAAGTTCCTAAAGGATAAAGTTTGTGATGCATGTGTAATGGGGAAAACAGACTTGTACTTCCTTTAAGTCTAAAAACATCGTGAACACCAAGAGACCTTTGGAACTCATACATATGGATCTCTGTGGTCCTATGAGAATTCAAAGTAGAAGTGGAAAAAGGTATGTTATGGTTATTGTTGAAGATTTCTCTAGGTTTGCTTGGGTGTTCTTTCTTGTAAGTAAAGATGAAACTTTTGACGAGTTTGTTGCATTTGTGAAGAAAGAACAAAGAAGAACAGGTCACCAACTCATTCATCAAAGATCTGACCATGGAACAGAATTTGAAAACTCTAAGTTTGATGAATTCTGCAAAGAACAAGGGATGGACCACAACTTCTCTACACCTAGGACTCCACAACAAAATGAACTGGTTGAACGCAAGAACAGAAGCCTTGATGATATGGCCACAACAATGTTGATTGCCAGTGGTTTGCCTAGGAACTTCTAGGCAGAAGCAGTCAATACAACATGTTTTATACTGAACAGAGTTACAGTTCGAGCCATCACCAACAAAACACCATATGAACTCATAAAGGGAGAAAACCTAATATTTGTTACTTTAGATCTTTTGGTTACAAGTGTTTTGTACACAATAATGGAAAGAGAAACTTGGGAAAGTTTGATGAACATAGTGATGAGGCAGTATTCTTAGGATATGCCTCAAATAGTAAAGCTTATAGAGTTTATAATAAAAGAACAATGTGTGTGGAAAAATCAGTACATGTAATTTTTTATGAAACTGGCAAGCTAATTGATGTACAGGATGGTGATGATGATTTTGAAATTAGATTAATACGAAAGTATGATCCAGATGAAGAATCAACATCAAAGCAAAAGCAGCACCATGAAATAGAAGGTGAAACGAATCTAGAAGAACCTGAGAATACCACTCATCAACATGAGTAAGAAACAAATGAAGCACAAGGAACTTCACAAGAGGTTCAAGAAGAAGTCATAGAAGAAGTTCCAGCAGGAGTTCCAAAGAACAACGTAGCTCAAGAAAGGCTATTCCCTATAAGAAACTTCCAACCTAAACCTTGAAAACATCAAAGCTCACATCCATTGAATGTGATAATCAGTGATATGACCAAAGGAACCTAGACACATTCACGATTTAGGAGCTTTTGTGCATTCTATGCATTCCTATCCTCTATGGAACCTAAGAATCATGTGGAAGCACTAACCGACGCTGACTGGATTAATGCCATGCAAGCTGAATTGAATGAATTTGAAAGAAACAAAGTCTGACATCTGGAACTTAGACCAAGTCATCAAAAGGCAATTGGTCTCAAATAGGTGTATAGAAACAAACTGGATGAACATGGCATAATAGTCAGAAACAAAGCAAGACTGATGGTTCAAGGGTTCAATTAACAAGAAGGAATAGATTATGATGAAACGTTTGCTCCAGTTGCAAGGTTAGAAGCCATTCGTTTACTTATATCTTTTGCTACTTTTATGGGATTTAGGCTGTATTAGATGGACGTCAAGTGTGCATTTTTAAATGGATATCTTGAGGAAGACGTCTATGTGGAACAACCTCCTGGATTTGAAAATCCAAAGTTCCCAAATCATGTCTACAAGCTTGACAAGGCCCTTTACGGACAAAAGCAAGATCTTAGAGCATGGTATGAAAGATTGTCTAAGTTCGTATTGAATAATGACTTAAAACGAGGAAAAATTGATAAAACTTTGTTTTTAACATCAAAGGAACAAAAATTTTAGTTGTACAAATTTATGTTAATAATATATTATTTGGTGCAACTAATGAATCTTTGTGTAAGTATTTTACTGATCTTATGAGTGGCAAGTTTGAAAAAGAGCATGATGGGAGAGTTAAATTTCTTCCTTGGTTTGCAAACCAAAAAAAAATTGAGGAAGAAATAATGATTCATCAACAGAAATACATTAAGGAACTTATAAAGAAATATAAATTGGAAAGTTCCAAAACCAATCGCACTCCTAAGGGTACAGCTACCAGGCTTGATGAAGACCTGATTAGAACTTGCATAGACCAGACTATGTATCAAGGTATGATTAGTTCTCTACTATACTTAACTATTAGTAGAACTGACATATCGTTTAGTGTATGTTTGTGTGCAAGGTTCCTAAAAATTCCAAAGGAGTCACACCTTATTGCTGTGAAAAGAATCCTTCGGTTTTGAAAGGAACCAATGACTTGGGTCTCTTCTATCCAAGAAGTGATCCAAGAAAAAGCACATTAGGTATGGCACAGTTCTTAAGACCATGCTTAGTGTCTTGGGGTTCCAAGAAGCAGCACACTATTGCTTTCTCCACAGCTGAAGTTGAATATGTAGCTATAGTACCTTGTTATTCTTAAATACTGTGGATAAAGCAACAAGTTAAAGACTTTGGTATTATTTTTGAATGTGTTCCTATTTTCTGTGATAATACAAGTGCTATATGTATTTCTAAAGATCTAGTTCAACACTCAAAGGTTAAGCACATCCACATTAGACATCACATCTTGAAGGATAATGTGGAATAGGGCAATATCAAGTTAGAGTTTTGCCAAACTAAAAGTCAAATTATTGTAGATATACTAACTAAGCCCTTGAATAGAGAAAGATTTGAGAAATTAAGACTGGAACTTGGGATGATCAAGCTGAATTGATTGTTTCAGAAGTTCCAAGTTATGGCAAATTGAGAATAATGCAAAACGAGGAAGAAGGACAACTAGCACAAATTTGGTGTGCTAAACATAGCTGAAATGTCATCGTTGGTGAATTACTAAAGGTTAGTTCAAAAATACTTGAATGCGTGTATAATTAATATTGTACAGTGTATATGTGTATATAGCGTGTTCTAGATACATATGGTTTTTGGAAAAATTATCTTTTGGTAAATTAAAAGAATTTGGAAAGAAAAGATAACTTTCTTAAAATTTATCTTGATTAAATGTTTTGGAAAATAAAAATTAGATTGTTCACTTAATGACAGAACAGTAAACCCATTCATATCTCTTGCACCGCTTCATTTAATATAAAAGGCATCCTTCACCCACTTTTTTTACTCCACTCAAATCAAGAAAACCACTCTCAATAAGTAAAAAAAAATTATATATACATACATACATATATATACATATATATACACATATATACACACACACACACACACACATATATATATATATGTGTGTGTGTGTGTGTGTATGTGTGTGTGTGTGTGTGTGTGTGTGTGTGTGTGTATATGTATATATATGTTTGTATATATGTATATATATATATACACACACACACACACACACACACACACATATATATATAAATAAATAAATAAAAATAAAAAACCATTAAAACCTGTAAAACCCTCAAACATGGAGAATGAAACCACCAAAATTTCAAGTGAGAAAAACCCATCACCACAAAATTCCGAACCATAAGAAACATCTCATCTTGCCATGGTTGTTTACGAATCCTAAGTTAAGCTAAAAGAAGTTTTAGAAGCAAACACCCCCACTTCCTCAACAACAAAGAAAAACCCAATTGAAGTTGAAGCGTCATCTTCAACCGATGTCTTCAAGAAATTGACATGCGGAAAAGAGAAAGACAGAGCATAAATATCTTGAAGAGCACATAAAGGAACTAGATGGTTTCGCTGAGGGGGAACTCGAATCTAAGAAAGAAAATGATCTAATTGAGGAGGATGACGATCAGAAAACTCTTGAGAAGAAAGATGGAAGGAATGTGGTTGGTTATAGACTTGATTTAACTTGGTGTCGAAAAGCTAGGTTTTTAGAATTTCTTGTTAAAATTCAGAATTATTTAGGAGATGATATTGTGAAATATTTAGGAGGAAAAAGAGGAGTTAATATCATGAATCATAATAATTTGAGTCCTTTGAACAAGTTGTAGTTTAATTTGGTGAGGAAGACTATTTTACCTAGGACTCAGAAGAAAAATAAAGTGAGTCTGCTAGATATGTCCATAATTTTCTATTTGGTTAAGAAAAGCAAAGTTAATTTTCCTTCTTTAATGATTCAACATTTGGCACATTGCGTTCCTAAAATGAACAAAGTGGGCTATAAGGCTTTTCTATCTAATGTCTTTAAGTGTCTAGGATTCAAATTGGAGAGATATTATGGAGGTTTGAAGAAAAAGGCAGAAAATGTCATCAATGAAGAAACTGCTTGGGTTAAGTCTGACTATTGTGAATGGAAAGTGTGAGAAGGTTAAAGAGAAGAAGAGTGAGGCTAGTGGGAAGAAGAAGGAAGGAGCTAAGTCTGGTAAGCCGGTGAGGAAGAGCAGGAGACTCTCAACTAGTTCCTTTCCTCAAACCAGCATGGAGAAGCCTTTGGAACTTGATGTAGTTAAGGATGTGAAGGCTGTGCAGATAGCTAAACTTTCTAAGAGAGTTGGTATGATAGAGAAGCAGCTCAGAGAGATGACAGGGAAGGTTCAAAAGTTAGAAAAGAGTATTCAGGGTCTTGAGAAGGGTCTAAAGAGACAGCAGGTGGAGTTCAGAAGACAATCAAGAACCTTGAATCAAAACTAGATGCCACCACTGAAGCAAACAAGGAGGACTACAAGAAGATTCTTGCTATCCTCGAATCCTGAGCCAGCTAACCTCTTGCAGCCTACCCAGCCCATCCTTAACCATTTTCTTATTTCTGTTTATGTCATGAACAATTTAAGTTTGCTTTTGGTTTTTAAAACAATGGTCTGTAATTGTTAAAACGGGATGGCTACTATTGGTTTTTATGATAATTTGGAACTTACCTTATATATGTTTGCATTGTATGGTATGAAAATATATGCAGGATTATGTGAAAGATTTGCTAAAGGGAGCTAGCCAGTGCTGCTTTCAGGGGTTGTGTTTAGATGTCTAATACCTTTGCTTGCAGGACTTTTTAATAATTCCAAAATGGGGAAAAGAAGAAGCAAACTTGACAGTAAAAGTTCTGGGTTCCAGTTGATAAAGTATCAAAGATTTCTTTGATATGATGTATATAATAGTTCCAATTTAATGGTTCTAGTTTTTCTAGTTTCAGTTTTTTGTTTGGTTTTGGTATTTCTGGTGTTCGTGTGTTTTATTTCTTGTTAAATAATCAAAAATACAAAAATACAAGCCTTCTATTCTATTTACTTTCTTGCTAGAAGTTTTCTAAGTTTGTCATCATCAAAAAGGGGAAATTGTTGGACCTTAAATGGTTTTGATGATGATGGAAAAGCAAACTTTAACTAATGTGATTTCTCAAAGTGTTGAATTAGTACAGATGAAGTTGACTTAGGGAGTGGAAGAGTAATTTGGCTTTGAAGATCCAAAGAGAAATAAAAAAAATAAAAAAAAAATAAAAAAATAAAAAAAATAAAAAAAATAAAAAAAAAAGATAAAGAGAATAAAAGAAGAGTTCCTCATTGGAACTAGAAGTGATCCCTAACGAGAACAAAGAGAGAAGCTTCCTAACAATAGCAAGACAACAAGCTAAGAAGACTAGCTTGGACTGCGTTGAAGACAGCAAGTTCCAGAAGAACTTAGGTTGCGAGTTCCAGCAAGATGCTGAAGAAGAGACAGCAGGATTTCAATCGTGGTATGCGAAGAACCTAAGTTTTTATTTACTTTACGAAGCTCAAGGATGGAAATTTAATAATAAACTTAAAGTCTTTTATTAAGGTTTTTGTTAAGTTTATTTTTATTAGGATTGCTGTAAATATGTGTTGGTTGATTATGCGTGAGATCTATTAGAAACGTGATAAAGCTTGGTAAGCTAAGTAAAATCAGAAGTTTTTATAAAAGATAAGTTTTAATTTATGGAAAAAGATCTTTGAGAGATTTTATCTTATAAAATCTGGTTTACAAAATATTAATGTTTTTAAATTATATCTTTGTTCGATTTTCCTATAGATTTCATAAAAAGGTTCATTTCATATTGGGTTTTAATAAATGGTAGTTTTAATGTTTATCTTTCGGAAAACCCTACTTGGATTATGAATACTTCTTATCAATAGAGTTGTTCATATTCTGAAAAAACTTGTGAGTTTATGCGTGAAAATCTCGAGAGTGCTTAAGAGTAAGTTTGCCAAGTTTAAAGCTTTATCATATTAGTTTCGGGTTTCATGTGTAGCTTTCCAATCTCATATTAAAGTCAAGTGTTTGTATTGTTTAGGGATTTGGGTGAGTGATTTAGTATTACATACAATTAGTAGGCTTCTAGTGAGAAGTAGAGTTCGAGTGCTCTTGGAGTACTAAGTGTACTTAATTCAAGGACTTAAGTTGGGTAGAATAGGGTTCTATTGAGTACCAAGTTCAGTCTAGAACTTGTGAGAAAGGTATGTAAGTAATAGGTTGTAACTAGGTGTGTTGCCCTATTATAGTGGATTGGTTTGGTTTGAAATCCCTTGGAGGGTCGAGGTTTTATTTCCACTTTGTCCCTAGACAGTTTTCTCGTAAATATCGTTGTGTGCTTTAAAAGTTCCTATTTATTTGTTTTAATTTCCGTAAAAAGTAGTCACTTAGGAACTCACTACAATTCACCCCCCTCTTGTAGTAGTTCATCTCAACTAACAACTATGCTCAAGATAACTAAGCAGGGAATAATTCCTTTTCTTCAAGGCATCAATCTAGGAATACTTCCCCATCATAAGGTTACCAACCTGAATTTAATAGAGAGCACGAGGAAGAGGAGCCTACAGAAGAGAGCAACCATTCTATAAATAGTTCTATCATGGAGATTCCTAATCCAAATCCACCCCCATCAAAAATCATTATTTATATTTCTTCTGATGTTGAGGAGGATGAGGAGTTTGTTCAAGTAAAGCAGGAGCCTGAGACCCTTGAGCCAATGGAAGATGATGATGACCTTGAGTTCAACCCTGGAAGCTACAAACAAATGAAAGACAAGTCGGTTAGTGTCCAAATGGATTAGATTTTTGTAGTTTCATTTCATCATAGGACTTCTAGTTTTCATTTCTGTAGTTATAGTCATTTCTTTTCTAGCAGTGCAATAAGTGGCATGGCCACAGTGAGCCAATAAACCTATTGATTTCCGTAGGCTATTCAAACTCATTTCATTTCAGTCATTCCTTCAAACAATAATAAATTTATATTCATTTCCTTGCTTAATGATTCATTTCCTATTACACCACCTCAATGATTCATTTCTTACTCTATCATTTCAATGTTCCATTTCAATCTTTGGGAACCATGGGAATTATTTCTTTTATTATTGATATGTTTTTTTAAATGAATGGTTGGTTAGTAATCAAGAATGTGTTGACCAAGCTACAAGTTGAGAGTTATAATTTTTGCAACCTCAAATTGGTAGTTTAAATTAAATGTGTATGTATGCTTGGTGCAAGTTAATAGAATGGGTGTTTA